TGATTCAAACTTTAATGATCCAATTTAGGTCCCAAATAGCTTGTTCAAAATAGGTTTTAAAGTCCTAAGTAAAATATAGGACTAAAATATTCCCAAAATTAAATGGGAAACCAAAACAAGTGACTTTAGTAGGTCATCGTGAATAAAATTGGCCTAAGGATCTATGTTGAATGATATTCTAATAATGAATTTATGAGTTAATAATATGTTAATCCAACTTTAATGCATGCTTTTATGAATATACAATTATAATAAAATAATTTATGAATATACATAGCATGTTTGGATTTTTATATATTAATATATACTAACCCATAAATCCTAAATAAATTGCAATACTTTAGGCAATTTAATATGCATCTCAATATTAAATTAAAGTCCAAATAGCAAATTTAAAACTTAATATTTGCCTAAAATTGAATAATAATTTAATTATGAATTTAATGCCAAAATTAAGAAAAACTAAAGGGCATCATCCAAAAAACAAGCAATTACCATATTTTTACCATTTGCCAAAATAATATACAATATAATATTAATTAAGGTAACATAATATGGCAATATTAAACTAAATTATTACCATTTACCAAAAATTAATATGTATAATCATTAATAAGGCAATTAAAATATGGTAAATAATAATAAAGGTAATTGCATTTTCAATAAAAGCAAATAAGGAAATGTATCATTATGGCAATGCTCCTTATCTCCTCTACCTTCTTCCGTGGGTCACCAGAAAACCGAATTGAGGCTTTTTTTTTTCTTAAATCTCCGTCGCCAGCAGAGAAAAAAAAATCAAGGAGAAAAAAATAATAATAATTAATTAATTAATGCTAAAAAATAATCATTTTCAGCAGTCAAAAAAATCAATTACAATTTAATTCATTCAAAATATACACGCTAAAATAATCAATTATATCAAAACTGAATAGATACAATTTTATATGCATATTTTGATGAATTAAAATGAATGTAATTGTAAACAAAACATATACAAAACTTGATGTATATGAAGATTAAACTTAAGATCATTTTAGGCAAAACAATCAACTAGACAGAGATTTATAAAGGCTCTTAATACCAAATGTGAGATTTAAATATACAGAGCATAATCTACGAGAAACTTAACTCGTAGTAGCGGAAGCGGAAGCACTGTAGATCTCCAGCCATGGTTGATACCCTGTTGTATTGCCTCTTCAAGTAGATCTGCAGAATAGGGTTAGCCATTTTGTCTCATACTTGACTCAGAACCCTAGATGGTGTATTGGTATTTTCTGAGCAATATGAGTACCATGTAATGAATCATATGTCTTGTATCCCATCAATACAAGCTTTATATAGGCACATTGGTGGATATAAGACTTAAACCTAAAGGTCCAACCCAACCAATTACTTAATGGGCCTAGTCCACTTGCACCACATAAGTAAGACCCATAATATATAATATATATTATACGGGAAAGTCTTACAGACTCAACAGGAGACTGTTGTTGCCTCGGCAGGGTTGGCATGCTAGTTTCCAGCCAAGCAGCGATGAGCTTCCCTTTCTGTCGTCGCATCTCTTCCGCTGACCATGGTTTGCCTTGCCACACCACATTGTTACGATTGGACCAGATGACCCAGATTTTGGCTGTCAGCTCCAAAATAGCAGCGTGATTCATCGAATGTAAGTTGTCATTCATGAAGCTTGCGAAGGAGCAGTCACGTAGAATATTGTCATCTTCCCACAAAGAGCTTGCGGTCAAGATCAGCCTCAAGGAAGCTACCATTATGAAAATATCTGGCCTGTAGAATTCGGGCGACCAGAGAACAAGGTTTAGAGAGTATTCGCCAACCTTGCTTCGCAAGCAAAGAGACATTAAACTCATCGAGTCGTTTGAAGCCCATGCCGCCACTCTGCTTCAGACACGCTAGTCGCTGCCTTGATAACCAATGAGTACCCCGAACAACGTCACCTCCATTTACCCACCAAAATTTATTCATGATCTTTTCAATCGTATCACACACATTGCGAGGTAGGAGGAAAACCGACATTGCAAAAATCGGCATTGACTGTGCCGCACTCTTCAAAGCACCTCCCTTTCTGCCCTGCAGGACAGTAACTTCTTCAGCCAGCTGCTTACCCTTTCCCTAAATCTTGTGTTCAATGTACTTAAAATCCAATGATTTATTGTGCATTTGTGCTCAAGGAATGATGGTAAACCGAGATACCTGCCAAAGTCCTGGACTTGATGAATCGTTACCACTAATCCATTATTTTGAGCATAATTCATTCATTATTATAATTTTAAATATTTTTGAATATTTTGAGCATAAATCATACAACTATATATCATTACCATTAGAGTGAATTTCCAAAATGGTCCTTTGACTATTGCCTTTTCTCAAATTGGTTCCTTAACTTTTAATTGCAGTATTGCACCTAAAGTGGTCATCGGACTATTAAATTTTAAACCAAAATGGTCATCGTTAGTTTCGGTGTTAAGTGGGTGTTAAAATGAGGGGTAAAACTGATAATTCATGATTTTCACTATAGTCAGAGGACTACTTTGGGTGCAATTAAAAGTCAAAGGACCAATGAAAAAAGGTCATAGTCGGGGGACCATTTTGAGAATTTTCTCTTTATAGTTCAAACATGATTTTGTACTCATTTTGCTTAAAAGGGGTTGATCTTGTACTTATTTTCATTTTCTAAATAAACAATAGTGTTTAGAAAAAATACAACAATGAAATGCACAAGTACACCAAAAACTACACAACACACTCAAAAAATGCACCATATATAACTCACACCCTAATGGTGTATATCTTCTTCTTTTATTCTCAACACAGAACATTAATCAGTAGGCCAACCTCAATCAAATATGTTTTCTCAAAACTCCCTTGTATATTTTATTGCTTTCGTTATGCAAGTTTAGAGTTTATTTACAGTGTGTTACATAAATTTTCAAAAACAAAATTTGAATTTTTGGTGATTTAGGATTAATAATAATAATAATAATAATAATAATAATAACAATAACAATAACAATAACAATAACAATAACAATAACAATAACAACAACAACAACAACAACAACAACAACAATAATAATAATAATAATAATAATAATAATAATAATAATCTTAACTATAATAAAGCTATATGGTTTGGAAAATAATTAATGTTATAATTAATGTCACAACATCCTTTATTAAAAAAAAAAAAAAACACAACATTTAAAAAATAAAATAGCCATATATTATATAATCATATAAAAAATGTACTTTTAAAAAATAAAATAGCTATATATTATATAATCATATAAAAAATGTGTTCAATTAGAGTTTAAATTTACTAATACAAATTTTGAAATTTGCTTTCCAAATGTAATTATCTTAGTTATTATTCGTATTGTGAAAATTATAATATAGATGAAATACAATTAAGAATAAATCAATGTAATTATGTAAATTTTCTGTATAAGTTTATTTTGATATGCACATAATTAGAGATTATATTAACCATATAAAATTTTAATTATAATTTTAATTGTAATTTTGTATTCTATAAAAATAATAAATACTTGACCAATAGAAGCTAAAAAATATTATTATATTAAACAATTTAAAATATTTTAATTTTATTTTTATTTATATTTATTAATAACATAATTTTTTCCCGTGCATCGCGCGGGTGAATTACTAGTAATAATAATAATAATAATAATAATAATAATAATAATAATAATAAAAAAAAAGGGGAATACTCACCATTATACTACAACGACTGGTTAGTTCTTTTTGTCGCCTTCCTTTAATTTAATTATTCGTTATAATAATAATTATACTTTATACTAATTTCCTTTCATTTTCTGCAAACCACATACTATAATTTTATTTTATTTTATTTTTTGAAAGGAAAAACTTCATTAAAACACAAGAAATAAGATGTTTAATACAAGACGGAATAGCAGAAAACCAACTAAGGTGACTAGACTGTGAACTGGCAACTCTAGCTATCACATGAGCAAGCTTATTCGTTGATCGATTCACGGGACTGTGAACTGGCAGCTCTAGCTATCACATGAGCAAGCTTATTCGTTGATCGATTCACATATTGAATGGACACTGATTAAAAGTGTTGTTTAAAGACCGGCATTGATTAAAAATACAACTTGCATAAGAATAATCCGGTAAGTCATCACAAAGGAATCTGCAAACCATCCTGCCAGTCCATTCTCAACACAATATAGCCTTTACATTGTGGTCGGTATTTCGGACCACTAAGTATAGGTTGTTGGAAATTCCGACCTATTTTCTCACCATAATCCTTCAACGAAAAATTTTAAAAATGTCACTTTTTCGACTATTTTTTTGGTGATTGGAAAATCATAGATTTCCAACCGTGTAAGTTCACAATTTTTGCTTTACTAAACATACTTTAAATATATATGGGGTATTATTTAATATGCCGACTACAATGTAGTGTGATAACACATTTATTATCATTTTAAATATACTATATTAGATTGAAATTATAATATTCTAGATATCAAAGCTCACATTAATGTGTGATATTATAGATCGAGTACACTTATAAAGTGAAGGGAATTCATAATTTAAACAAATAATAATAAATAAATAAATAAATAAAAATGATTGTAATAGATCAGAATAGAAACCAATACAAGAAACTAGATAGAAAAAGTGTCATACATCAATCTTACTGTACTGACACATAACTCCTTGCATAGAAATACGCACAAATAAAGAGTAATTATTTTATTTCTTAAAGTAAATATAGACTCTCGCCGAACACTCTAGTATAGATATTATGAAACATAAATTTACCAAATTTCCATTCTTCTTTGATATCAATATTTCTCTCGTTGTAAACTTGATAATAGCCGGCTAAATTTAAATCAATAGTAATACTTTTTCTCTTTTTACTAATATAGAACTTCCTCTTTGCCTGAGTCACCAAATCGATAGATATGAAGTAGGGTATATCTCTTACCTCAAGCATCTTGATCCCACGTACCTATTCCATCTGGAAGCTCAAGCAATTGACTATCCAAATTCCAAATTCCTATTGCTTTACAAGAATCACGATAATTTGTGTTTACAACGGATGCTTGTTTATGCCAATAAGTATTGCTATCATTTTTAATCATTAACCAAATCTCAATACAATCACGATCCCCCATAATTGGATTTACAAGTAAAGCAATAGTCTCATTCATAATTGTGACGGAAGCAATGCTAAAATCACCAAAATATGGCAGCTCAATCTCCCCAAAAACCTCATCATCCATGTCAAACCAAAGCAAGTGTCGCTTGTAAGGTTTATAATCATCTATGTCATGCGGTTCATTGTAACTTTCATAATAGTCGTAATTTTTAGCTAGCCAATAATACCTTCCTTTTAAATAAAAATCCCTACCGGAACCTTGATTGGGCGGAGTAAATGGAACTGAATTAATTTGTTTCAAACTCCATGAATCACCAGGAACTTGGCTATAAACCATTGTGATTTGATCAAAATTTCTAAAACTCCCACCTTTATCACGAATTTCTAAGAGCATAACAACCTTCCAAGTCATGTTGTTAGAAATTCCAAATCCAAATTCAGGAGTCACACGTGCACCCTTAGGTAGCTTGTTTGGGAAGATAATAGAGGGTAAGGCTTTAACTTTTCTAATGGATGGGTTCCATATCAAAATATCGTAAACCAAGTAATCAACACCATCAAGTTTAGTCAGATCAGTCTTGCTAGAAATCATACATAACATACCTTGACAACACTTAACCCACTGTATTGGCATTATTGGGATGTCTAGGTATATGCATCCAATCTCATTACTCTCAGATTCTCTGTGAAGAAAATAATATTCTCTAACATCCCATCCCATCTCTAAAAGAACACAATCAGATTTTGCTTTCCTAATTTCATAGTGTTTGTCCATGAATTGATTATCACTTTTTATCAAATCATAAAAGAATTTGCAAACACATTTAAATCGCATAAGAGACTTTACCGGTAATCTTGCTAAAATTTCAACCACCAGATCCATTGGCAATTTGTAATTTTGCATTTTCATGACGAGATAGATCGAGTTTCAAAGATCGAACAATTCAGATCAATGCTTCCAGCAATAGGGAAAGGATGTGCTTTCAACCGTCAATAAACAGAACTCGATCTGCAGAAACTTCAACGGCAACAACCTCGTATTGGCGATCTGAGATCTGAGAATGAATATAATGTTTGGTGGATTTTAGACTTGTATTTGAGTGTGTGTACGTATGTATATATAACATTTTTGGTCATATGAGGCGTCGCCCTAATTGCAGTCGTTATATTGTGCACCAGAGCGCACATTGCATTGTGCGTCTCGTTCTACCCAAAATAACGTTGTTTTGGTGCAGTTCAAAAAAAAAAATCATATGTTTTGAATGTACATAAACTCATAACAAAATACACATAATCTAACATAATACGTAATACACATAAATTTTTAACGTAATACACATAAAATTTTAATGCAATACACATAAACTTTTAACATAATACACATAAGCTCTTAACAGAATACACATAAACTTTTAACATAATACACATAAACTCTTAACTAAATACACATAAACTCTTAACATAATACACATAAACTCATAACACAATACACATAAACTTTTAATTGAATACACATAATGGAGTTTGGTCCGTTTGAACGGACGGAGTGACGTCCGTTACGTCAATCCCTGTCAACGGCAATTGAAACATCGACGTTTTGTGCCTGGGCGCACGTTGCTATGTGCGCGGTGGTGCACGATATAAATTTTCACCTAATTATAAGAGTCTCGTATCATACTCAGACTAATCCACATTCGCACCGGGCCGAACCAAGGATAAAGTACTAGTCAGTATGGATTTCTAATATAGTAAAATTATATTTTTAGTTTAATACATTGAATGTTAATTTTTTCAAGGTAATTATTTAATTTGAGTATAAAAATTCATTATGTAGTATACTACTAAATAATGAACCTTTAGTATATTACTAATGAATATTTATTCATGATACATATGGACCAGAGTCTACAATATAGAGTTGGGTTAGGGATGGGTGTTGGTTCAATTTGGGTGATTCTTTAATTTTAGGTCAAGAATGTTGAACATATTTGGTTCAAGTAAAATTATTTTAATTTTATTTCGAGTTGGTTTGGTTTTATCCGAACTAGTATTTTAACTCGTGCGATGCACGGAATGGAATTGTTGTAATATATTAAGAATATTTAAATCAATATATAATTATTTAAGAGTTAATTTCACTAGAAGTCGCTTATCTTTCTTGATAATTTCAAATTTAATCCTAGATTATAGTTATTAATTATTACGATTTATCCAATGTTATAATTCTTACGTTAATATTCTTACTGTTATTATTAACACTTAATTACTTTTAGATATTATTATTACCACTTATATTATTATTATTAGTTTTTTTCAAGTTATATAATGGCCATGAGGCACAATAATAATATAACCATAATTAAATATTCTTGTATTGTATTCGGTGAGTCACAATAATAATATAACAATAATTAAATATTCTTCAATTCTATATTCTTTAGGATTTCTATTACCATCATTAATTATTCCCTAATTTAACATAATTAAATAATTTGACCAATTATAAAGACAGATTATTAAAATAATGCACGTGACAATTTTTTAATTAAAAATTTTAAAAATTCATTAATAAAACATAAGGTTCTCATAGTTTTTTGTTAGAAACTATTTAATAAAGCATTTATTTTTAGAAATTGGTGGGCCAAACCGCCTACGGCAGTTTGCGGTGGATAGATATCGAAAAAATACGTGATTTCAAGAAAATAATTGTCCAAAATGGACAACCGAGTCAAAAGTTATGCCTTGCCAAACTTTTGTCACTTTACAACTTAAAAAAAATAAAATTTAATCGCCAGTTCAGTCGGCGAGGCGGCCGCGGAGGAGGCCGATTCGGGCCTTCCTCGCCGCGGCCAACGACGCGATTTTTGCAACACTGATATATAGTATAGATATAGATTAGAATAGGAATAGTATTGCACAATTTTATAATATTAGAATAGAATTTTAACCCAAAATTATTTTAGAAATCAATATATTTTATTAGGAAGAGATTTTTTTTTGGAATTGAGCGGTAAGTTAAAAGTTCAGGATTTTGTGATTATATATAGTATAGATTACAATATGAATTCTATTACACTATTTTATAATATTAGAATAGAATTTTGACCCATAATTATTGTACAAATGAGAAAGTAGAAATCAATATATTTTATTAGGAAGAGAGATTTTTTTAGAATTGGGCGGTAAGTTAAAAGTTCAGGATTTTGTGATTATATATAGTATATATAGATTACAATAGGAATTCTATTACACTATTTTATAATATTATAATAGAATTTTAACTCATAATTATTGTACAAATGAGAAAGTAGAAATCAATATATTTTATTAGGAAGAGTTATTTTTTTGGGATTGGGCGGGAAGTTAAAAGTTCAAAAGATTTTGTTATTATATATAGTATAGATAGTATAGATAGTATAGATTACAATAGGAATTGTATTACACTATTTTATAATATTAGAATAGAATTTTAACCCAGAATTATTGTACGAATGGGCAGGGACGGAGCCAGAAAAATATTTGAGTGGGGGCGAAATTTAAATGTTGTTAGAATATCAGTTACAAAATATCACACATTTATAATAAGATTAAAATGCAAAATATATTATAAATTACAATAGAATGTTTTTGATATATTAAACGATATTAAACTGGAGGAGACATGGAGGGTGGTCGGACGCTTTTTGACGCAAAAGTTAATTAAACTGGATTTTATGAGGCAAGTTTTACCGTCTGTTTGGCAACCGGTGCGTGGTGTACAGGTAACGGAGATCCAACGGGGTTTGTTCTTGTTGGTTTTTTTCCATAAGAGAGTTATGGAGTATGTGCTGAATGGAGGACCCTGGGCTTTTGAGAATAATGCTCTTGTGTGTCGGGGGGTGTTGGATGGGGTGAATCCTGTTGATGTAGAGCTGGATATGATTGACATGTGGGTACAATTGCATGATATGCCAAGGGGATACACGTCACATGCAATTCTGGAACAGGCAGGGAATTTTTTGGGCTCTTTTGTTAAGCATGATGAGCGGTTTGAAGGGGCGCCATGGCTAACTTTTCACCGTATTCGGGTGTCAATTTCGGTTGATAGACCGCTTCGAAGGAGGATGAGGTTGATGAAGAGGGATGGGACTACAGCATGGGTCAATTTCAGGTATGAACGGCTGCATAAGTTTTGTTACTTTTGTGGTTGTATGGGTCACTTGCATACTTTCTGCATACACGCTAGAGAGGCTGAAATTCCGGTCGGAAGGTACCTGTACGGTCCGGATATGCGAGCTGGTGGGTCCCGGAGCGCTCCTAGAGCGGTTGGGGATAGCTGGCTTGTGCCGGTTGGCGGGAAACCACGACCACTGGGAATCAAGCCACGTGTTGTTGGGTCAGTGGATGGGGGACAGGGAAGTGGGGGTGTCACACCCACGAGTATGTCTGAGGATGAGGTGGTGGTGGCTACGGCGAAGCGTCGTAGGCATGGGACGGAGGGGGGAGAGGATAATGGAAATGATGAGGTAACAATTGCTGCTGTTCCAAAAAACTTGTCCATGGCGGGAGCTGGTGTCCAGCCCCGCCCATCACCATGAGTACTTTGAGCTGGAACTGTCGTGGCTTGGGCAATCCACGCACAGTTCGACAGATTGTGGGACTAGCATCCAGTAAGAAGCCTGATTTTGTGTTTTTTATGGAGACCAAGGTGCCACGGGTACATGCAGAGCGGATCCGTGTTACGCTTGGGTATGAGGGTTTATTTTATGTTGATAACGATGGATTGAGCGGAGGAATGGCACTTTTATGGAAAAAGAATAATACGGTAAGGCTATTAAGCTACTCGCAGAGTCATATTGATGTGGAAATAAGCTTGTTTAATAAGTTATGGCGCATGACATGTATCTACGGCATCCCCGAACGCAATAGGCGGGAGGAGACATGGGATTTACTTAGCACTCTGAAGAATAGATCCTTGTTGCCCTGGGTGGTGATAGGGGACTTTAATAATCTTCTATATCAGCGTGAGAAGAAGGGGGGAAATCCGTATCCTAATAGTCTATTACGGGGTTTCGGAGAAGCTGTGGACGACTGTGGTTTGATGCAAATGCCAATGAGAGGCCACCAATTTACGTGGCAAAAGGGAAAGGGGACGCCGAATTGGATAGAGGAAAGGTTGGACAAGGCTCTAATAACGAATGAGTGGGGTCTGATGAATGAGAATGCATGGTTGGAGAACATTCGAACCCGGGCCTCGGATCACTCGATCCTTTTCCTCAATATTAATGCGACCTGCATGCCAAGGGGAAGGGGGCCGCGGAGATTCAGGTTTGAGATGGCTTGGCTGTTAGATGAGGGGTGCAAAGAGGTAGTAGAAACCGCCTGGCATGAGGGGAGAACGGAGGGATTGCTGCATTGTCAGCAGTTGTGTGGGGAGAAGTTAATGCGGTGGGGGGAGACCAGTTTCATAAATTCGGAAAACGAATTAACCAGCTACAACAGAGACAGGATGCCATACGGAATAGGCGAGATTTGGTGGCACTAACTGAGTACCAGCAGATTGAGAATTCCCTGAAACGAATAGAGGCTCAGGAGGATGTGTTCTGGAGGCAGCGAGCCAAGCAGCACTGGCTACGTGGGGCTGATGCAAACACAAAATTCTATCACAGGTATGCCTCGGCTCGTAGGAAAAAGAATTTTATTTCTAGTATTAAATGTGATGCTGGTAACTGGGTGGAGGGAGATGATATGCATTCCACTATATTAAATTACTTTGATAATATATTTGCCTCTAATGGATTGAGTTGTGATGACCCACTATTTGAGATCCTAAGCCCACGGGTCACGTTAGAACAGAATATGATGCTAGACCGCCCTTTTGAAACTGATGAGGTTAAAGAGGCTCTTTTTTCAATGTATCCGGATAAGGCACCGGGTCCGGATGGGTTAAACCCGGGTTTCTACCAGCAGTTTTGGGAGATAGTGGGAGGAGATGTATCTGACTTTATAATGAATGCTTTGAATTCTTGTGAATTCCCTGAGGGGTTGAATGATACTAACATTGTTTTGATCCCTAAGAAAGAGATGCCTGAGACAGTTGCAGATTTAAGGCCGATTGCGTTGAGTAATGTCATTTACAGAGTTATGGCCAAGATGATAGCAAATAGGATGAAAAAACTTATGGAGGATTAATATCAGAATCCCAGAGTGCTTTTATTCCGGGAAGGCTGATCACTGACAACATCTTGGTGGCGGCAGAGGTCGGGCATTATCTGAATAGAAAGCAATGTGGTGTAGTGGGTTGGAGTGCATTGAAGCTAGATATGTCAAAGGCCTATGACAGAATGGAGTGGAACTTTCTAGAAAGGATGCTGACTGTTATGGGTTTTAGTGAGAAGTGGATAAAACTCATTATGCTGTGTGTAACGACTGTTAACTATACTGTAATGGTCAATGGTATAGCAGGGGGCGCGTGAAACCAACCAGGGGACTCAGGCAAGGAGACCCTCTCTCTCCGTATCTATTTATTATTTGTGCAGAGGCTCTCTCGACGATATTACAGTATGAACAGTCGGTAGGCGCTATACATGGGTGCAGAGTTGCAAGGGGGGCACCGCCTGTATCACACCTATTTTTTGCGGACGATAGCCTCCTATTTTTTAAAGCAAATATCCAGGAGGCGGGAGTTGTAAGGCAGTGCCTTGCAAGGTATGAGAAATTGTCAGGCCAGGTGGTGAATTATAATAAATCTAATATATGTTTTAGCAGAAATACCCAGGAGGATGACATGGCACAAGTAGCGGATTGTCTGGGAGTGATGCAAGCACCCAATTTTGGGAAATATTTGGGCCTACCTTCCTTTGTAGGGAGAAATAAGAGAGCTGTTTTTTCATATGTGGAGGAAAAGATCAGGCAACGAATTGGTTCGTGGAGTAAAAAGTTGCTTTCTCAGGCTGGTAAGGAAGTATTGTTGAAAAGTGTAGCGCAATCTATGCCTACCTATTCAATGAGCGTTTTTTTGTTACCTGAGACAGTTTGTCAGTCAATTGAGCGAACTATGAATAAGTATTGGTGGGGAAATGGAAGAGAAAGGGAAATACATTGGAAGGCTTGGGACAGGTTGTGCGTACCAAAAAAATACGGTGGTATGGGTTTTAAAGAGCTGAGGGCTTTTAATCTGGCTATGCTGGGAAAACAGGCATGGCGTTTTTTAACGGACCCAGGGACACTCGCAGCTAAAATCTATAAGGCAAGGTATTATCCCACAACCAGTTTTACAGATGCAACTATTGGTAATTGCCCAAGTTACTGTTGGAGAAGTATAATGGCAGCCCATGCAATGGTGGTCTCAGGGGTGCGAAGGAGAATTGGGAATGGACAGACAACTTTAATATGGGGGCATCCGTGGTTACGAGATAATCCTAGCCCATTAATTCAAACAGATATCCAGAGCAATTAAGAGAGGCACGGGTTACAGGATTAGTTGATTTACAGACTCATACCTGGGATCCACATATTTTATCTGACTTGTTTATTCCTGAGGATGTGGAGCGAATAAATATGATCCCTATTAGTCCTGATTACGAGGATTTATGGTATTGGATGAGTGACCCAAAGGGGACATATCCAGTGAAGAATTCCTATAGGCGTATTGTGGGTGACTATGAAAATAACCCCGCGATTTTCGATAAATGGATTACAATGTGGAAAGTAAAAGTCCCCCCAAATGGAAAACTTTCTTGTGGAGAGCCATATGTGACATTTTGCCAACAACCATTAACTTGATATTTAAAAAGGTGGAAGTGGACCCAACATGCCCAATGTGTGGTTTAGATCATGAGGATGTGTTACATGCTTTAGTGCTCTGTGAATATTCTAGACTTGTTTGGAATATAACACAATTGCCTATCATTAATATTGTTGCAGACTCTTTTACAACATGGCTAAAAGGGGCTATGGCGATCTTGACGGAGGAGCAGACCCGGTTGATGATAGCAATAGTATATTATATTTGGAGAGTCAGGAATTCAGCTGTCTGGAAGGGATCAATGACGCGGCCAGCCCAATTAGCCAGAGCAGCAACCGTAGCACTACAGGCGTACGGCGCTGCCCAGGCCAGCCGTACCGAGCCGGCAGCGGCATCGGAGCATTTAACCGAACCAGGGGAGGGTGGTCTACGGTGTTATGTGGACGCGGGTTTCCGACACGACACAGGCGAGGCTACGTACGACATGTTAATAATAGCGCCAGATGGCTCTTTTGTAGCAGCAAGAAATGGCAAATTACCGATTTGCTTTTCACCACTTATGGCGGAGGCCCAGGCATACAAGGAAGCACTGTCCTGGTTACTTGAACGGAACAACACATCAGTAAGTTTACTCACGGATTGCATGGAATTGACTACGATTGTCCGGCACCATCACACGCAGATCCATTCCTACGTTGGGGTCACAATTGACCAATGCAGAACGCTTATGTCTTTATTTAATCGTATTACTTTGGATTACATCTCTAGACAGGTTAATTTACATGCTCATACTTTAGCTTCGTTAGCATTTACACAGGATCAAGCTATGTACTGGGATGCTATCCCACCTGACGCTATTTCGGCTTTGATTCATTAATACAATCGCAAGATTGACCTTAAAAAAAAAAACGATATTTAGAGTCGGAGTCAAAAATATACTTGAGTGAGGTAAAAATGTAAAAATATTTATGATAAAATATGAAACATAATCAATAAAATAAAATAATTTGAATACAATGAAGTATAATATAAACTCGTATACTACATTAATTAAATGATTCATAGAAAGTAGACTAAAAAAAAATTTAATTTGTTAATTGAATGATTCATAAAAGTAGGCTAAAAAAAATAAATAAGTGAAGATAAGGAAAAATGTTTTTAATAAGATTTGAACTTCTAACCTTACATTTTTCAAATGTAATTTTAGAGTTCTACCAACTAAGCTACTCTAACTATTTATACTTTGAACATAAATATATATTTTATACAACATTTAATACTATATATGTCGATATATATACATACATATATATAAAGGGGTAGGGTGTGGGGAGAGTAGAAATCAATATATTTTATTAGGAAGATACATTTTTTAAGAATTGGGCGGGAAGTTAAACGTTCAGGATTTTGTTATTATATATAGTATAAATTTTGATTTATAAATTTGACGTAGAGTTTATGAAGAATTTACCGTGAAGTATATGAAGAAGGCAGCCAGAGATATATTTTTGACCAGCTGAAGTTGAATTATAATGTCTCTATTTGTCCTTAGTATTTCTTTTACTTATTTTTAAATTAATTTTTTTATTAATAGTACTTTTAGTGTAGTTTTCTCTACATCTCTATTTACATCTGCAATCTACAATTTTTTATATATACATACAATATACAATTTTAATAAGAGCGAATAATGTTAGGCCCTTAACTGGAACAAAAAAATGACGGTACTATTGTTTCTTAAAATGAATGGTTCATATTATTTTGATTTTAGTATTTTTTAATGATTTTCTTTATTTACCCTCTATTATATTATTTTCTTACCTTAAATAACCTAAACTCCGTTAGTTTAAACTTTAGTAACAGAATATTCCGTTAACTATTTATTATTTTTAAATTATTCATTAATTTCTATAAGAAAACTTTTAAGTTCGAATCTCGTCCCAATTAAAGTTGCCATAATTGTTAATTACATATACTACGAAGATGTTAAAATGTATTAAAAGTATATATAATATAAAATTTAACATAAACTTTGGTCAAATAATTAGTCTGACTAAATACATAACATTCAAAGTTTTTTTTTTTTTTTTTTGAATGTTACTAGCTCCACAAAGAACCACTAAGGCTCGAACTCACAACCTTCTAAATGGAAGTCCAACCCGGATACCATTAGACCACATAATCTTGGTACATAACATTCATGTTAAGCATCAAAGATTATAAATCAAAAATTTGAAAAATCATTTGATTTTTATGCATTTAAAAAAAAATTAGGTTAATTTTTTTTTTTTCGTTTAATTAATCTTCTTTTGATTATTTAGATCATAACAAAACTTAATATTTCAATTATACTTTTTCATTATTGGTATGATTTAGGTCGTTATGGTATCAATATTTTTTTTATGTATTTTTATAATGGTACAATTATACATTACTTTACAAATATTATACTATTATTTTTTTATTGGACAAAATTGTTCTTACATTATTGTCAAACATGCGCAACCTAACTACAAAATCGTTGATCATATATGCAATTACACCTGGACTCTAAAACGGTAGGACCATTTTCCAAAGAATTGACTCTCACTGGCTCCAATTGAACAAGTTTACACATCAGAATTTTATCAATGCATGAAAACTTCTAAAGAAATTTGTAAGTTAATTTTTAACATATCATTATAACAATATCTATTGTAAGTATATATTTTGAATTATTTATTATCACCCTCTATTGACAGGAATTGTAACAATTGTCATTGACAAACTCTCAAAACAATTTGTCTCAACAACGAATGTAAATTTAAAAAAAAAAATCAATGATTTCATTATTGTTGATGAAAAGTAGGTACGGCACTTTATTACTCTTATTAAATTAAATAAATTAGTAGCTACAACAAAAAATAATACATATGCATTTAATTAATTTAGAATTAGATGTCTATAATGTATTTAATATAATTAAAAAAATTATTCATTATAAAAAATTTGGAAGAGATATAATTTCATTAGTTATATTATCTTTATTTTCTACAATTCAAAGATTCATTAACTTCAAATTTATTAATTTATTATATTCACTACATTGTCTATGGTCTTCTTTTTACATTATTGTGTAATTAAATATTAAAGTTATAATATAAAATATGTTATATATATATATATATATATATATATATATATATATATTTACCAAGTATTTTATAGAAATATAATAAATATTAATATTTTGTTCAATACTTTCACATGATAACCTACAACACACATCTCACAACACATGAAACATGTAAGGGAAAAACTACCACTACCAAATATCAATAAGTGCTTGTAAGATAAAAGGTTAATAGTACAATTAAGATCTCATCATATACACAACAAGGCAAATCTAAAGCTTCCTACACCATAATCTCATTGCACGATGAATCAATCCATGCTACCACCAGTA